GAAACCAGGCCGGTTTCGTCGAGTCGCCGCAGCAGCCATCCTGTATAGATGGACCAAAGTATTGGCGACCAGCTGCAGCCCTGCCGTAAACCGGTGAGGAGCCTGATGTCTTCGGAGTACTGGTCGTGGGAAATTCGCAGGAAAGCCTGGTTGTGGATCGCAAGGATTGCCGTAATAAGGTTTTCTGGGATCTGGGCCTCCAGGAGCGCCAAGCGAAGATGTCCACGACTTACCCCATCATATGCCTGCGAGACATCCAACGAGAGTTGGAGGCCTCCTGCAATATGAAGAACCTCACGGCCCGACCTTCGCGTGCGTGGATTGGCCACCTGCTGGGTGACGAGGGCTCTTACTGCAGCACAATGTGAAATCACACGCTCCAATGCCTGTTGTAGCGAACGCCCTCTGAGGTAGGCGAACTGGGGGGTGTTCTCCAGGTATGAAGCCGCGAAATTCTGAATCCGAACCGCTAGGGCTGAGGCGAGGACTTTGGCAATGGGAGGTAGTAGGGCGATTGGGCGAAGATGAGACGGCGATGTCAAAGCCTTGCCAGGCTTTGGTAGAAGCACCAATTCGCTAATGCACCACTCCTTGGGAAGGATGAGGGGGCCTGCAGTGAAGACGTGGTTGAGCTGTTGCAGAACCTGAGGGGCAAGTTCATGTCCCAGGTGGTTCCACAAGGCTGCCGGAGATGAATAGGAAGGCATTGCCTTCCCCGGGGCCAGGCTTTTGATGGCAAAGAGCACTTCCTCAAGCTGAAAATCAAGGCTACTACACAAGAAGTCTGGTGTGGGAGCCGGGCCGTCGTAGAGGTCCTGGTAGCACTGCTTGATGGTCCTGAATTCGTCGGCTGCTGTTTGCAGATGACCCTGCTCAGTGCGGAGTTGGAGTCTCCGCCTTGCCGTCTTGGGGGCAAACTGCTTGGCTGCCTGGTACACGTTATCAGCCTTGACTGCCTGTTCCACCATATGGATCTTTTTGTGCCTGCCTCGTCGCCGAAGTTCTCGTTGAAGTTGTTGAAGGGCTCCAGCTCTTCGCCAACCAGCCCAGAGTTAGCATGGTCCTTCCGAGTTTTGTTGCTTGAAGTGTCTGGCCTCAGTATGGATGCTATCTCGTAGGGCCCACAGGTGTCTAATCAACAGGGCCGTGTCTGCTACAGCTGGGTGTGGCATTGGTGCTTCGTGTCGAGCCTGTTGCTTGTTGCTGGCCAGCTTCTGCTGCCAGCCTTGTAGCAGGGCACCATCAATGTCAGGGACCGGGTTACCTGCAGTGGATCCAAGGGTTGCCTGGGCTGACTGCCAGACCTGTTGGGGTACAGTAGAATCACGAAGAATTGCCTTGGCTCTGGCGGGTACGACTCTCTGTCGTTTCTGCACCGTGGTTTTGGGCCTGGTGGGCAACGGGATGGTGCCGGAGACAGGCAGATGCCTGCACCCGGTTTGTGGTACAAACGGTGCCGTGATCGGTTGGGCAAGGCGGGCCTTAGCATCGAGGAGGTTGTGCCGAACGATGATGAAGTCGATCTGGCTGCCCTGTGCGGAGTCCGTGGCTGCAGGAGGGAGAAAAGTGCGAGCTTTCACCCCAGGTGCCTTCCACGTGTTGAGTGCCGTGCAACCTGCTCTTCGCAGGAGGGCTTGAAGATCCTCTTGGTCTCGTTGTGCCCAGCCTTCTCTTGCTACAACACCGTCACCACACAAACCTGTTTCAGGGTACAAAGGCGTATTGAGGTCGCCTATGAGAGCTGTGCCGTTCCGGAGTGGAATCCGAGCCAGCCACTGTTCCACTTGATGCCAGAGTCTGGCACGTTGTTGGACCAGGGAGTCGATCTTATTCCCAGCGAGCTCAGCCTTGTGAGGGTTCCAAGACACTTGGTAGAGAAGTAAGAGATCAAGAGGGATGTCGAATAGGAGCCGTACGTGTAAGGCTCTGCCTGGCATAAGCACAGCATAGCGTATTTGATCAGCAGGTAGAAGTGAGGACCTGATGAAGCAAAGTATGCCTGTGCGAGCCGGGCCTCCGGCGTGAACTGCATGCCACTGGGGCTCAAGCGGATGATTCTTAGCCGTACAGAACTCGAAGTCCTCTCTCCAAGCAGTTTCTTGGACACAGAAGATGTCTACTGGCTCTCCACGGGCCTCTTCTGCTTTGAGCCACGCCACCAGTTCCTGGTAGAGAATCGAAGAGAGGCCACCGCAGTTGTACGAGACTATGCGAAGGCGCCTGGCAGGTCGATGTTGTGGGAGTCGTCGAGGTGTGCCTGGGCGAATCGCAGGACCTGGTCTCAGGTCACGAAGGGTGTAGTGGCACCCTCTGTATTTGATGGTTGGGGCCTGGGCTGCCTGTGATCTGTTGATCGTACGAATCAGGGTGCGCTTCCGAAGTTCGGCCTGAGGAGGAATACATAGGCGAGGCTGGCTGTGACGTCTGTCACCAATCGGCTTCGCCTCGTTGTGCTCCATCATGAAGAGTCGTGGGGCTTGTGGAGTCCTGTGATGAGCAGAGACTCCAACCCTCGCATCTGCCACTACTGCTGTGGATGGCTGTATCTGAGTCACGATGATCATGAGGTAAAGCCACAGCGAGATGAACATGTGAGGCATGTAGTGGCCCTGGGACTTGGGACCCAGGCAGCTCCGAGAAGGTGCATCTTCTCGTGTCGTCGGAGGATGGAGACCTGTGGCCAGTGCTGGGGTAGAGGTGCTAGGTGGGTCACGACTCAGTGCAGGTGAGGAAGATGAGTGAGTCCTTGCCTTCGTCCCTGTGGCAATCGTGAGAGGGGCCATCGACCTTAGGCAGAGAACGGGGAGATACACAATCATTCTCACATACTGCAGGCAATCCAATAATAGGGTCACCGACAGAGTCTTCAAGCACTGCATGGGGCTGTACCTGGCCGGCCGCGTCAATGCCGAAGTAGCACAGATACGACAGCAGGCTTGCGTGCAGAGGGAGCGGTGCAATGCATCGGCCCATCTTTTCACTCTGGCTGCTTTCATCGTCGAGGGCACGGTGGTCCAGAAAGGCAGCCGGCCAAGATTCTCGATGCTGTGTGGTGAAGCTAGGGGGGCAGAGGGAGTGTCAATCATCAGGCCCATCGAGGCCGGTGCCCCCTGAGTCAAAAGCAAAACCGACCCTGATCCCGGATCACTACTGTGGCTGTTTGCGGCATCGCCTGAGCAGCTTGGATATGATCTGGGTATTCCCTGTATGTTTGGGTTGGCTGCACTGCACATGAGGTCGGTCAAATGAGGCCTGGACTTCTTGTTGCCCTTGAGCTCGGCCTGATTCTTCTTGGGCTTCTTGGGTTCATCCAAGAGGACCGTAACATACTCCTCGTCATCGTCCTCCAGGCTGGCGGCTGGGCCTCGTGTTCCCGATCGTCTTGTCGAGGTGGAGGAGGAGGTCTGACCTGCAGGAGTGGCCGCTGTACTGGTGGTCGAGGGTCGCAGGTGGTCTGTGGAGGATCCTGGCCTGGCCGATACATCCTCATCTTCGTTCTCCGCCTCATCGTCGGCCATGTCGGCATTCAGCCCCTCCTCGATATCCAGGTTGACCTGCATCCTGGCAATCTCCTGGTCGGCCTCCATCGTATCGATCTCCACCTTGGTCATGGGAGTTCGTCGACGTCGGCCTGGAGCTCGAGGTGTCTGTGGAGTCGGTGGCGGGATAGCCGGCCCCTCCGGAAGGGTAGGTCCTGCAGTTGCCTCTAGCACGGCGTGGTTGGGCGGCGCCTCATCTGCAAAATGGAGGAGGTGTGGATGCATGGCCTCGCCTGGTACCATACCCCTGACCTCCAAGGTGATGCGTTGCAGAGCAGCCCAGTGAGGGTGAAGGATCGTCAGGACTTGGCCTTGGGTGATGCCCAGGGTGCTGGCGAGGACCGTCGACAGGCGGCGAGACATGCTCTGTAATGCCTGAATGGGCACAGCCACCGGTGGTGGTGGCCCCGCCGGAGGGCCGGTACGGATGGGAGGCTCTTCTCCCTCCTCCTCATCCGAGGTCAACCTCACATCCACACACTCATCGTCTGATGAGTTGCCACCCAGCCTTTCTACCATCGTGTGGCCGGGTCGTCTGCGAACCTTTTGAGCCAGTGCCTCTCCACGGACAAACCGCTCAATTGCTTGCACAACTGCACGCCGCAGAGTGGTGAGAGCAACTCGAGCAACTACCCTCTGTGCAACAAGTCTGGGGCACTGCCTGTCCAGGCTGCTCTCGCAAATGTCGAGCAGGATCATGAACAGGCCCAGGCTGAGGCTGATCGGTGCAAACAGGGCCAAAAGGCCCCATTCACTCAAGACACACGGGCCTAAGCGACTGAGGCAAAACTTCCTCGCTCCCTGTACCGATCTGTAGAGATCCGTCCTGAGCCACTTGAGGCCACCGTGGCTAGTCAAGCTCCTCCAGCTCCGGGTTATGTTGTTTGCAGGCATTCTGAAACATGGACACAGCAAACCATTCGCAGGACTCGAGTGCGCATGTAAGTAGCCGAAGCCTGCCAGTAGGAGCCAACAAACTCCAACCCGATAGCCAAATTCCAAAGGCCCCTGCTCCCTCCATCGCCCAGAGGCGGCGAAGGCTGCCTTGTCTAGCCCGCAGAGCTTTGATGTCCAGGTCTCCCCACTGTTTGGTGAGGCAGCCGAGCACATAGTTCTCTGAGCATATGAGGATATAGTCTGGGAGGAAAACTCGGGAGGCATACTTGGGGAGCTTGTTTGCTCCATGACACGGGACCAGTTCCATGGCTCTAATGTGCCGGCACCTTCCCAAGAAAGCCAAACCAGCCACACCACCAGAACAGCCTCGGAAATCTGCAACAGCCTGTTTCCAACCTCACCCCTCAGAGCCAGCACCTGCAAGGTGCCGCACACAAAATCTCCAGTCCTATCGCTCCTCATCATGGAGCCGAGATGCTTATATATATATATATACATACATACATACATACATACATACATACATACATACATACATACTAACTTTGAGTGGGCAGCCTGAGTCGTCGAGGCAATGCGAAGCGTAGCTGAGACAGGCTGATATAGCCCGGCCTTTGGCATACATTCTCACAAGGGAGATCACCCTGAGCCGTAGCTCCCGAGGATGAAACTACGTGATGGATATAACCGAACCATTAACGGGACTGACAGTCTTGCCGAATGTAGAAGATCAGATAACACTGCTGCTGAAGAAGCGACATGGCTGCTTCAGTTGAGTAAGGCTACGCATATTGGTCATCCTCTGTGATCAGAAACCGGGAGCTTACATTGTCCCACAGTATGGCCCGATAGTGACCCGATGTCGCTTGTGCACCCAGGTGAATACAGGAGGCTTGCAAGCGGGAGATTTGAGGTTGACACTCGACGGTACATTGAAGCTTGCCCGAGCCCTGAAATCGAGCGACCTGTATCACTGCAAGCTTCGGCGGCTCACTAAAGGCGACTGTGCCAGCCTGCAACGACCAGTGATTCCTGCAAGTCAGCACGGAACTGAATGGAAAGGTCAAGACCCAGTGCGCAAGCACGGCCAGATTCAATCACCTCAACACCATGTGCGGTTCTGACTCGAGATTGCCATTCAAAGAACATGCAATCGATGCACAAAGCGGATGCTGCAAAATCGGCGAACTCCACAACATCATGTTGCACCTGTGGATTCGGCCAGTCTTGTAACTGCGATCACCAGCATTGGTGTGCCAGGAGATCGTAAGGCTGAGACGCCTCTAGCAAAGAGTAAAGGCACTGACGGGCTCGATCATTGACTTGCTGAACGGGGTGCATGTAAGGCCAGCTACTCCACAGCCATGCAATGAGGAAAGCATTCATACAACAGACGTTAGAGGGATTGACGAGCCTGAGCGAGAGGACAGCTTGGCGATCTGCATTTGAATATGGTTGGCGAGTGCCGAGCGTTGAAGCCTGTCCGGCCGAATGTTCAGGAAAGCCGTCTGAGCGACCGACAGCTGACAGAGGGACTTGATCAAAGTATGGGCTTCCTGAGCCTCTGGGGCGCGCAGGCCGATATCCATGATAAATGCCACCACCGGAGCTTCGGAGGTCTCCGTAAGAGGGCGCAACGAATGTAGTCGGTGCACGACGTTGTTCATCGGGAGCAACTCGAGAAGACGGTCCAACGTCTCCATTACTTTGTCGTGGCTCATGGGATCGGCCTCAGCATTGATCATGCGTCTCTTCTCCTGCACATCCCAGATCAGGTAGTTCCATCTTCTGTCCTTGTCCAACCAGGTGGACTCCGGCATCTCCAGGCAAGCTGTCTCGGCCTTGTCGTGAAGCTCCTTGGCGCCCTGCTTGATTTGACCCCCATATATATATATATATAT